GAGGAAAACACCGTCACTAACTCCCAGAATGGTCCACACGGCCACGGCCATTCTCAGTCGATCGAAACCCCATCTGCCACCAGCTTTCTCACGAACAGCGCACCAATCTACAACCAAAACATTAACAGCGGGTCTGGTCAGCAGAATATCAACGTCTATGGTGTATTCGAACCTCCGCCACCCTCAGCTACCGGCGCCGCGCCAACCGAGTACGAGATCCCTACCGAGCCAGAGCATCGTCTAAACCGAGACGCTGGACAGCAAAAGTTCTCGATCAATGATACCGTTACCAATAAGACGGCCGGCGACGGTAATCCCGGGGGTCACAACCAAACGTTGAAGGGCCCACATGGCAACACGCACATGCGCGTGACGGCGCCGGTCTACAACCAAAACGTCAACACCGGGAGTGGACAGCAAAACATCGACGTCATCGGAAAGATGGACTTTGAGAAAAAGGATGGCAAAGAGCGACCGCGTCAAGGCCCTCTAGTCGCAGTCGCGCAGTCTGCAAACCCACAGCCACAGCGGCGCGACGATCAGGGACCAGGTAACCCACACTACGGTCACAGTCCATATTACCGGCCGACTTCGCCTCAAGGCCTTGCAGTTGCAACCGGGCAGAACGCAATTCCACTACCACAGCGACGCGCCAATGAAGCACCTCATAGTCCATTCTATCGGCCAGCTTCGTCTCACTATCGACCAACCTCGCCTCAGTATGGATCGCCTGAGTATCGACCAACTTCACCTCAGTATAGTTCAAATTCGCCTCGCCGTCGATCTCGTTCACCTCGTCGCCGCGTCGCCCCACATAGTGACAGTGGCGCTATGGGTGAGTACCGGGATCGTTCGTACAGGAGGGGTGATGGTCTTCCATATGAGGATGCTCCGTATGATTCAGAAGATGATTGGTCGAGACCAGATGGTGTGGATCGTTCTGGTTCAAAAATTCCGCGTCGCGACCGCTGAGATGAGTAATATGATAGCTGATGACGATGAGTCTAGAGGGATATATCGCGGTCAGGCATTTTCATGATCTGTATCTTCAACTGGTAAATATGTTTAGGCCATCTCCATGAGACTATACTAAGATGTATCACCAAGATGACCAAGCTCTTGCACTAATCCGTCAAACATCTCTGTTCTACATGTACGTGATGACAATGGTCTGATTTCTCCTGCAACTCCGGATCAGCTTCATGATCAGACTAGTTTCCAGCGTTCCTAATTGCGTCCTTCATCTTCCCTTGGATGTCGCCTTGGATCTGCCTCATGGTTCGCTTCTCGAATTTCTCCTTCATTTCCTTCATCACCCTCGCGGATGACGTGTCTAGGCGAATCATGTGGTTCTGCGATCGGCACCCCTCTTTCTTCATCGCTGGGTTGGTCTTCATCATCAAATTCGACACTCTCAGTGCTTGTGGTTTCGATAGTCGACATTGAGTCGCCTTCCTCACTAGGGTGATCAGTATGGTCAGAGCTATCAGATTTAGGGCGAACAAGTTTGGGGACTTTGTCTTTAGAAGGTACAGGAGAGGGGCCACGGTTGGCGCCCCCTTGGTCATTAGAAGACATTTTTAGTGTAGCTCTGTTGCTGGAACTAACGAGCTGGGCTAGCTTGTGAGCTGAAGCTTTGTATTACGCATCTCACTGTAGCAAACCTTCTCATTATCATGGGAACTCAGAAGGGTGACTAGGACTCGTGATGATATGACGAGGGTATTGGAGAAAGGATCACCTGTACGATTTTGGTCATTTCGTAGGAGCAGAAATTGGGAAGCTTATACTGGCTTTAATGATGACTAGATCTTGGCCTGTATATACTGGAAGATATCAGAAGTTTTGTGTGTTGTGTAGCGAACGCGCTTTGGCTGCTACCTTACGGCTGTGCTCGTAAGCTGAAGAGCGGGGGGACTTGAGGTAAGGCCTTCATCTAGACAAGCAGTATGGATTGTCGTTAAACCAGTGGGTTGGCATGGGTTCTATCCTGATTGAACATCTTCCACAATGGAATCTGGTCCTATGAGAGATACACAACGACCGCTCACCTAGCACTGGGTGTATGCGGCAGTTTTGCCTTCATGAAGAGCGTGACTGCTTACGCCTAAGGCCAGAGATGAGCAGAAGCGGTTAAAAGGCGGGTAAATTGGGCCACAGCCAGAGCGTCGCTCACCGAAGGTCACTCCGATATGCATGAACAGCTTTACAGCTTCTCCCGTTCTCCAGGTAGTGAGTTGGCGAATGGGAGTGTTGGTTCCCTGTGTCGCGCATACCGCGGCCATTCTGTTCAACTGCATATGCATCGTGCCAAATCCGGACCCAGCTACCACTCAGTCGGGACAGAAACATGTGAGGGATAGTTTGAGGGTTGCTCGCTCGCATCAAGCAGCCCACATCCCGCGGAGAACGTAACATAAATGCAAAGCTCTACCACCGTAATGGAGAAGTGACTCCATCCGCTCAAGTCTCTGGGCTCAACGGGAACGGTAAGCATGGATGATGACTGGGAAATCAGCAGATCAAAGGACCAGAGTGATGTTCTTGGTAGAACACCCGGTCTCGACACGAGGCCAAGGCCCTATTTCACCCTAACAACGGGCCGATGCTCGGTCGACGATCATCAAGCGCGAAGAATCTTCTATGCCAATACGCCGGCTCCGAGGCCAGGCCTTGGCCCCACGCGGGTGCTATCAGATGGATTAAAACTGGGCGATTGGTACCACGACTAATCAATCTGATAATCGTTGCTTTATCTGATCCACCAACGTACACAACCGAAGATGGGTGCCTTAGGATGTGAGGAATTTGTGGTTCCAGAATTGTATGGCTGCTTGGATGCTAATGCAAGTGCGCAGGGCTCAGGGCCAGCGACTCTGGCGATGCGAAGAAAGTTTTGGAGAGGAAGCTCGTTGTGAAGCTTGGTATGAGCATCTTTATCCCCATGGCGCAACCATGCTAACTTTCATGTAACTAGACATCTTCATCATGGTCAGTACTGTCGTAGAACTCGACTACTCATGATATCTGACTGTCTTGACTAGGTGTTCTGCTGTGCAGCCTACTTCTTCAACTACCTGGATCGCCAGGCTTTCGCTAATGCCTATGTTGCTGGTCTCCGCGAAGACATCGGCCTCAAAGGCAATGAGTATAGCATCTTGCTGTCGATTTTCACTGCGGGGTCCGTTCAGTGTGCCGGTGTGTCATGGCACTCTAGCTGACAGCTTCGCAGTCTCGTTGTCGGCCAGATACCCCATGGTCTCATCATCCAGAAAGTTCGCCCTAGCATATGGCTTCCGTTCACTCTTATCCTCTGGTCCCTTTTGACCATGTGTTCAGCTGGGTGCAAGACGTATTCGCAGCTTTGTGCAGTCCGCTTCTTCCAGGGTTTGATCGAGGCCAGTTTGTATAGTGGTAGCGTGTATGTGATGGGTTCATGGTAGTAAGTCGATCGAGTTCCTTTTCATGGGAAGATGCTCACGATGCCTGCAGCAAGCCTTCCGAGATAGCCAAACGGGCTGCCATCTTTACTGCGGTCGGGCAGGTCGGGAGTATGTGCGCTGGTCTCATGATGACGGCAATGCACCAGACGATGGAAGGCAAAGGCGGCTTGAAAGGCTGGCAATGGGTGTTCATCATTGGTACGTGAGCGGTTCCGAGGGCCGTCACGCGCGCGTTGCTGATACATGTGGTTCAGACGGTCTCATGGGAATTCCAGTTGGTCTCTTCGGATTCGTAAGTTACGTCGGCGCTTGTACCCGAGCCTGAGGACTGATCGTAACCCTAGTTCACATTCCCGGATCTTCCAGAGTCGACCAGAGTCTCCTACATCACTCAGGCGGAAAGACAACTCGCAATGACTCGTCTACCACCTAAGACAGCAGACACCCACAACATCGAGTTCAAGAGCCTTGCGAAGCGTGTTCTCCTAACGCCTACTATGTGAGTAAACACCTGGCGTGTTAGTCAAAACCAGGAAGTCATACTGACTCCTCCGCAGATACATCCTCACAACTTTCTCAGTCGTCTGCGCCATGCTCGAAGCCTTCGCCTTCCAGGGCATGTTCCTCCTCTGGCTCAAGCACAACAAGTCTCGCTTCTCCCAAACCGCTATCAACACGTACCCTCTCGGGATTCAAGCTGTTGCGATCGTCTCCCAGATTTTGGGCGGAGCCTTTATCGACCATACAGGTCATCGTCTGCCTATGATCATCTTTAGTGGAGCGATGCAGCTCATCACCGCATCGCTTCTGCTCGTGCGAAACCTTCCAGATGCGGGAATCTTCACAGCGCATTACCTCAGTGGCACGAGTTTCATCGTGAATCCAATCATGTACGGGTGGGCCACAACCATCTGCCAGCGAACGGGCGACGATGCGGTGAGGGGTGTGACCGTGTATACAATGGCCATGGGCGGCCTGATTTTGTATACATGGTGGGGTATCGTCATGTACCCAGCGACTGATGTACCATACTGGAAGAAGGGAAGCATCACCATGATCGTGGTGGTCTTTGCTTTCATTGGATGGGCGTTCGTGGTCAGATGGGTGAGTATCATTGGTGAATAAGGGATTTGGCGTGTGCTAACGATTCGTGTAGCTTGATAGGAAGACGGCGATGGCTGCTAACCGTGAGCCAGCTGAGTCTGGAGAGCATGAGGTGCCGGAAGTTGTTGATGAGAAGACGAAGTCTGGGTAGTGGGCTTTTTCATGGCCCCTCAGAAAGCACTGCCCCTTCGGTTCGCGCACATGAATGTTGTCAACAAACTCCTTGACGAAAAGATACGTGGGCGGTAATGGCTGCAGACCGCGGTCGCTGATGCGCGACGTCTTGCTGAAGGGTTGGTTGGTGCTGTGGGCGATACGCATCACGAAGGGATTCAGGGTCTCGTATGTCATCATTACGTCATCGTCATCTCCGCGTTCCGTCGCAGAAAGAATGCACTCAATGCTCCTAATTCTACACTACCCATCACCCTGTTCGCTTCCTTACTGCTATCTTTAACCACTTTGTTCATCTAATCTACGTATGGAAGTCTCCCGATCGCCGCCGGTATGACCAGTGAATCTGTACTTACATCCGTTCACCAACCTTCCGTGCCCACTCAAGATGCAGCTGTTGTAAAGCAGTATCTGACGTGTCTGGTCGCAAATCTCGGCTTCGAAGTACATGTCTGTCGATTCTTCGACGTCGGCTACCCGTAGCCATTGGAACATCCTCGGAGCGCAGTGATCTACTCGCCTCATCCGTAGCAACCGTAAAGGGCTGACCCGGTTCTTCTCCAGGATTTTGGCGATCCTCGTCACCCGGATTCATATACACATCTTCAAGCCATTCGTCGATCCAGCGCCGCTTACGGGAGGATATCCTCTTTCCAAAAGTTTGTGGCTCGATTGCCTCGGTCTGACCCGGAGGGCCCAGCTCCGGTTTGTATGGCCTTTTTCGAACCTCGCGATCATGCCGATTTGCATCAGAGAGAGCGCACTCCGCCTGTGCATGGCCTCTGTCAGCGTCCTGCATCTTCGCAGAAATCTTACGGCATTTCTCCAGCCATATGGGGCCAAATTCTTCTTCTAACTGATACGACCTTACACTTGCGTTGCCACGTTTCCCTCTCTGGTGAAACATGTAAGTCTTCAATTCCTGGTCGTACTGCTCACGAACATTGTTAAACTCCCGCTCAACGCGTATTGCCTCGTCCGCCGTTTGGTAGAGCACATCCTGTAATGCCAGCAGGTGGTCGTTGCGAGGATAGTCCTCCCATGCATTATTCCAAGTACTCTCTGGCTCTTCTTCTCCCAGAGCTCCAAATACTTCACTACCTTTGTCCACAATTGGCGCGGGTTTCCACTCCCCGGGTATCTCATCGTTCCAATTATTCTCGGACCAATTCAAGCTAGAACCGTCCACGGGTTCTTTTGCGCTTAGGATTTGGACCCGCGGATTCTTGTCGGCGTCGTCGATTCCAGGCAGAACGCCTATCTTTACGAGCAGTTCGTCCAGCAAGACCCATAGCGTATGCTCTGCGTCTCTCATGCTTGTTTCTACTGCTTCATGTCGAGCGTAGACATCATTCTGCTGTTCTTCAAGCTTTACTTTCTGTAAAACGTTTGCTTGGGTACGTAGGATGACTTCTGAGCGACGCTTCATGGCCCACTCAAAGGTGTCTTCGTCATACTCACCGTAGTTGCTTGAAGTCACCCTATCTAGTTCTTTCGCCTCTACCCCCAATTTATTATCGTCGTGCTGCATTTTGGTATACTCTGCTTCAATCGTATCAAGCTCGCGGTCACGCCACGCGCACGATGCATTGAATTTACGACGGGCCGACCCAGCTTTTACGATGGCATTGAACATCTCGTACGTCGGCACGATGCCTGCACACTCATCGAAGCCATTACCAATCAGTAGCAAGCCACTTTCCTCATAGAAGTTCTCCCTTCTTATGGCATCTGGCCACCACATGACCGGGTGGAACCGGCCAGGTTTTGGATGTCTCAAGTCCAGATCTTGTCGCAGGGTGGGAGACTGTGAGATCGCTCCGTGTAATAGATGGTCGGTTTGCGATTTTGACTGATCAGGCGAAGTGCCCGGTGAACGTCCGACTGGCCTACTACCTATCTCGGCTGGGGCTACGTACTGCGGATGTATCTGCGGTACGAGCTTGAGGAACTGCTCACCTGCCCCAGCTCGGCAGTCCCTATCGTATTTTCTTTCACTGGCCAAAGGGTGAATCTCGGGAGAAAGCCAAAGCCAGTTCGACGCAGGTCTGGCCTTTTTCCGCCCAGCTGTGGCCGGAGAAAAGGGTGCAGAGCCCTCCGTGAGACGAAGAAACTTGTATGGTCGTCCCGTCGGATGAATGGCGCTCTGGAGACCAACATCGTCGACGATGTCTTGAAAGCATCTTTTCCTATGGAACTTTCCGGTGTTAGCCATGGAATTTGACACTGGACGAGTAATCGGTCGTGACTGCCGGGTATCTACGAATCGGTTCTTGAGTGCATGACAGCGCAAGTATCGTTGTTTGGCATTACTTTGAGGACTGCAGCGAGGATGAGTCTTCTAACGTTGAAGTTGCACCAATAACAAAGACATGGAAGTCAATGGCATAGGCTTGCCTTTGTCATATTACCGTCTTTGTTACTCGGTGATCTTACATAAGCAGAATCAGTACACACCACATCGCGTCGACAGCTTCGGTCGCTGTGAATTGGATGCGCGTGAATGTTATGAATCCTTCTCAATTTGGACAGCGAAAGCAGGTGAAATGGTCAAATCCGCTGCGCTAAACTCGGAGAGGTGCCTTGCGCCCGCTCTGTCATATATTAATGGCCACTACTTGATGAATCAAGACCCCTATTATTACCGATATAACCACAACCTCCTCAACCCAGCCACAATACGTAACTAGCTATGACAGACAGAAACCAGTCGGGTGATCGGAGGCATAGAGCGGACGGCACGCAACCCAACGATCGCAATGCACGTGGAAATAGTCGGGAACCAAGGGGCACCCACCATGATGATCAGGGCAGAAGGCCTCGAAATCGATCCCTGTCACCCCAAGCTCGAGGACATGATACAACTCCTGGGAATCGACGACCCACCCAACATGCAGGTCTGCAGCGGAACCGTTCGACAGGCAACATGTATATCGGAGATGGCATGACCAATGTATACAATGGCCAAAATCCAAACCGCATACCTCTTGGTGCTCGGAGCACCAGCAACTCTACCTCGGTCCCTTTGACTCCTGTCATGTCTACACAGCCTACTGCAACTGCAGGCAATGGTGCTGGTATCAACTATGCAGCTAGAACCGCAGCCAGCGGAACAAAGTACGAGAACTCAAATAGAAGCGGGAGTGGCCGACCGCCCTCGCAACGAGCTCGGCCGAATACTCCTTCCCGTAACGGTGCCATCCAACCCCCAATTCTGGACGGACATGGGCGTATCAGTCAACGCATCCAGAGCAAACCAGGACTAGTCTTGCCAGAGAGCGAGAAACTCAAACCCGGAGACATTGTCAGTTTCTGGATGATCAAGCATTGTCTCCTCGACGCTTACCAGCGACGCAAACACCACCCGGACGGAACCTGGGAGTTTGCTGATACTGATAAGTGCGTACTTCAGTTTCAGCCAAACGATTACATACGTAATAGATACGGGCAGGACTGGCCACACGGCTTCTCCCTGGAATCTCGAGATGGCCTTGTAGTTGGTGTATCATACGACGATAGCATCGCAACCGTCGACATCTTGCCTTTTTTCTCCTATTCCGGCAAAGGAGCCTGGCAAGACGACGGAGAAACCATCCCCAAATCCCCAGAATTCTGTGCTTCGCACCTCTCCATAATGACCCGAATCCGACTCGATCGTCGAATGCGATACGAAGCAAGGATCAAGCAACAGCGGGCGATGAACCCGAACTCTGATGTGAAGATGTCAATGAATACACCCACTCCTAACAGTCATCCATGGGCACCTTTCGACTGCATTGCGGTGGTCAACCAAAATGATTCATACGACCCCAAGCGCAACACTCTGGTCAGATTCTCGATGGTTCTCACCATGAACGTAGATGCACGGGTACGAAAGCATTCCTCCCTAGAGCCAGAGAGCAAGATCCGCACCCTAGATATCTACCGTAAGTGGCTGTATCTCAGGATGATTAGTCCCGAAGAGCGCTCTACAGGCGATTATGGCCCGTATACTTGGCTTAGAGGAATGGATCCAAGCTATACTGGGTCCTTGACGACCCCAGAGATCGGCGCCACCAACGCTGCGCCTCAGCAGACGCCGATAGTGCCTCAGCAGAATGGTAACTTACCACGTCATACCGGTCCAGCTGTGGTTGCTACACCTCCGCAGACGCCAACAGTGCCCCATCACAACGGAGTTCTGCCACATCCTACTGGTACTACCAACCCTACACCCCAGCAGGGGCCGGGAGCGCCTCATCAGAACGGAGCCCTGCCACCCCCACCTGGTCTAGGTGTAGTCACTCCACCCTGGATGAAGCGCAAGTTCGACGATACAGAGGGAAACACCTCTGTGAACGCTGAACAGCAGGCCGCAATGGGAGATGCTATCGCAACAACAGGAACCGACAGCTTTGGTACGCAAGCCGCTGACTCATCCACGTCACTGGAGCCAGCATCAAAGCGACAAAAGACTGAGGCCAACGCTGATGAAGCTGATACTGATGTTGGGGTAACACCTGGCAACCCCGCCCCCCTCCCCCAAATGAGAGCATGCGACTCGAGAAAATGATCGCCGATTGAACTGCAAATATTGCGGTTATGAAGATACGATATGGCTATGCTTGTTGGCACGACCTTATCAGTACAGCGACATCGAGCGGCCTTCACTGCAGATGTCTGGATAGATTATGATACCCCTTCCTCTTTATACTTTGTACCCTTATTTTTGCTTAAAGGTCACTTTACCAGTTCCTCCTCTTTCCTGTTATGTCCATACTTTCACGTTGGTAGTCTTCTTATTCATGTTTATGTTTGTCGTCTGTTCGTATCGTTCTGCTGCCGGAATCGTCTTCGTTACTCATCTTGCGCTTGAGGATAGGCTTAACACGAAGCTGACATATTGAACTACCATTGTAAAAGACAAAGGCGCGATACGTTGGGTCGATGAGGTTGTTCGGTGTTTCAGATGACGCGGAGAGAGGGAGAGGGGAAAGGCTGGATTTCTGGGCGAGAAGGGGTAGATGTCGGTCTGATTATACTCGGTGCGAGTTGTAGGGGTAAATAGTGGGGAGTGGGGAGGGGATAGGTATCAGATCATGTGCGTGGTGAATGACTTGGGATCGATGAAGTGTGCTCGGTGTAAGAGTGGCAAGAACAGGGATACCTGTGAGGAACAACTGTCAACATATTAATTCGTGCTCGAGTCCGTAAATGTGTAATTGATACGTATGCGTTACATAAAAGCAGCGTGAAAAGAATCTTCGTAGTACTCGCGATAGTCATGACCCATTATGTTCACCCCTGCGCCGAACGAACCCAGAAGACTCCAAAGCAAGCAAGCAAGCGGCCAACGACGGGATCTTGATATGCCCATGTAATGTCGTCTAGATGGTATAAACGTGAGGAAGCAAAGCAACGCTAAATGCTGATGTACGATGATGAAGGATGATGAGGACGAAGGAAACGCCAAACGCTATGATAGAGGAGATTTGGTTGGAAGCCGTGGGGATTAGACGGCGACAGTGTGGGCGCGGAACAACATCTTGAGGCCGGAAGGCTCTTTCTCCTTCTTCTTGGTCTTGCTGCTTTCTTTGCTGCTCTCCTTGCCGGATTTGCTGGAGGCGACTTTGCTGGAAGCGACTTTACTTGAGGCAACCTTGCTGGAGGGACGTTTTGAGTCGGAGGTCTTGCTGGTCTTGACGCTGACTTCGGACTTGGGTGCGCGGTGCTTGTGCTCTTTGTGTTTTGATTCGCTGCTGTGCTTCTTGGATCGGGTGCTGCGGCGGGACTTGAGATCGTCTTCGTCAAGTACGCCGGCGGCGCAAAGGGTGCGGGAGGCTTCGGGCGTGATGAACTCGCCGTCGACACTGGTGCCGGAGCTGTTGGCCTCGACGTCTGCGATGCCGCGACGCCACAGCTCTACGCGGCTGAGCTCCTGGGGCTCGAGCTCGTCGAGCTGGTTGTTGGAGTCTTCGATGGGCATGGTAGCGGCACGCATGGGCATCGCCATTTGCGGCTCAGGTAGGGGTGCGTCGACTTCCTTCTGGACTTGCATCTTCTTGATGATTTTGTATCCACCGAGTGCGACAATGGTAACGCCGACAGCGACACCTCCAGCGATCATGAACTGGGGGCTGAGGAGCAGAGCTGCAACGGCAGGGAAGCTGCCCTTGAGCGTCATGAGGACACCAGGTCCCATCTTGCCGACGATGGCGCTGATCTCGGCGAGCGTGAGTGATACGGCGGCAAGCGCTTCGGGGTTTTTCTGCAGGTTCTCAATCATGGCCGTGGCCGTGTGTTGTAAGCAGTTGGCCTCGTCCAGGAGCAACTCGATCTTGGAAGCCTTCTCTTTCAGCTCGACGTCGTTGTACTTCTTGTCGGGCAGGGGCGGGGGCACATCGCCGTAGCAAAGGTCCATGTCGACTGACTTGGATCGCGACTTGCTGCTCTGCGACGAGCGCTGGACGGCCTGATCGGAATTCCTCCTCGCAATCTCCTTGTTGTGTGCGTCGCCGGCGAGGTCGGCTTCGAAGCGGTGTTTGCTGCTTCGCGGGCTGTCGTTGGCATAGAAGCTGTCGCTGTAGCCGCGCTCCATCACGGGCCGGTCATGGGCCTTGGTGCGATGGGTGTGGGCTTTGGACGCCTTGGAGCGATGCGAGACCTGGGAGCGGGCATCGTCGTCATCCAGGCGGATGGCCTTGACGCCCTTGGCGAGCTCCTTCTCCTTCACGGCGGCATCGCGCTCCGCCTTGATCTCCGCCTTGCGCTCGCGGTAGGCGGCCTTGGCCTCCTTGAAGACGTTGACAATGTGCTTGCTCTGGGCGGGGCGTCAGTACGAGTACGGGGCTTATCGGGGGGCTAGCGAGCTTATCGGGCACTCACACTGCTCACGACCTTCCCACTCTTGTTAATAACAGTAATAGTCTCTCCGAGTCCGACGGCCATGGTGACGTAGTAGGGCGTTGTGTTCCTGCAGCAGCTGCACAGCGCGCGGCAAGAGGGGTTTTGTGTGACCTTGAGGCTGGTTGCGGTGAGAATGGTACTTGTGTCCTGGGCCTAAAAGGCGGCGGTGAGCATGTATCAGTCAGTGCTCGCGGAAACGGCAGCTGGCGCAACTCCACAAGGTCCCACCTGGATCACCAAGTCGTCGCGGCCAGGCTGCGACTATAAGGAATTTCAGAGTCACTCCTGACGGCGCTATTGTCGGAACACTACACGCGGAATGAGGCGATTTCTACCGACCGCGACACGCAGCCATGATGGTGGTGGAGCGCGGGGTGCGACCAGAGTGGCCGAAGCGACCTGCAGCAAAGCCATTCACGAGACTGCCCGCATACTTCGCATCGCTTGTCTGTGACGTCTCGCCCTGGTTCGTGGGCTGCGGCGTGAAGACTCAACCAGTGCAGTCCGGGCATAGTCGCAGCGCGTGTCGCCATGTAACTGGAGGCGCTTCCCTGGCGCCGGCTATGCGGGCAGCGAGACGCTGCAGCACTGAGGCCCCGGCTTCGCCTGCCATTGGTGCGGATGGCTGTCTTGCTTTATTACTGCAGCCATCGTGAACGTGTCGTGACAGCGACTGGACAACTAAATTTCGGCAGCCTCAGTTCTCACGCGTGCTGATGCAACGATGCAGGCCCTGGCAGCCATAACCCGACTGTTGCTGCCCAAACCCCAACATGGAGCCGTCTGGTATCGAGATTGTCAATCATTGTCCAGTTGGCATGATCGGCTCTAGGTTCAGCCTCTGGTAGCCTTCAGCTGGGAAGGTTGCCCTTACCGCGCCAGCCGTGGCGGTGCTGCTGTGGCGTCTGTGGCGGTGCGCTCTATCGTCGCGGCCGAGACTTCAAAAGACTGTCCACGTCGAGCTGAGCAGGTTGGAAATCTGAGAAGATTACGCAAGCTGCGTCATATCGAGGCTGTCGGAGGTTTGACAGTCTTGGTCATCGCCAGCGTGTGGCTGTAGTTTGGTTGGGGTCCCACGCTCCTTTTTCTCAACCCACTTTTCCCACGTTTTCAACGCAGACAGGAAGGCACTCCCTGGTGGTGCTGGTGAGGCATTATCGACGATTCATTGCCCGCAGTCGATCAAGGCTACTGGTCCCATTTACTCTCTACACAGGCATCTCTGCTCGCCGATTTCCCATCCTGTCCAATCTTCGGCCGCGCTTCGCAATCCTCAAACTTGGCGGCAGAGTGTTCCAGAATGCACACCGACGATCTTCACTCTATCTCTTCGACCTGCATGCGGCAGCCTCCAGCCTCCCGCGCCCTGATATGCATGTTCCCGTGAGGCTGTCCTAAGTCTCCTTAGCAGCTGGAGCGACTCGAGGCGGGCCACACCAACCGCGTCATTTACAATTGGTAGCTCAACGTCGGAAGCCGCTCTCTACGCTGCGACCACGTATTCGGGCCTGCGAACGGTGAACTATCTATTATTTAGAGCTCGCAGACTAGGGAGCGACTGCATGATTGACAGCGCGCCGCCAAGTTGTACGACACGTGCATACGTGACTGCACGCTGGTGCACATATGTTGGCACCACTCTGCGCTTGCTGTGAGATATGCTGATATGGGAATCGAGAAAAAGGAAGCAGCGATGCTATTCCGTGATCTCAGCTTACTGTGAAGCACACTCCCACTTTGAGATATGGCGTCATTGCAGCGAGATCGCTCGCCATGTAGGGGCGGTGAGCTCGTTACTGAGTGCGAGCAGCAAAGCTCGAGCTCCCCTGAGAGGTCACCTAGCGACGACGAGACGTCTTCAGATATTACGCTGAACGAGGTAGATGAAGCCGATCAACGGCTGCCTCTTTCGAGCACGGTAAGGGAGGCACCGCTATCGCACAGCGCGGGACTTTCTTCTTCTGCCATCTTTCCGTTCCATCTCCTCGCAGGCTGTAGCTCAGCAGAAAGAAGGACCATGTGCATCTTGTCAGCGTCGCTTACATCGCAGGAAGTGAAGACAGCTCCAGGTGTAGGACTAAGAGGTACGTCTAGTCGAGTTGCTGCGTCCATCGGTGATGCATCAGGGCCCCGCAGCCGGCGCTTTTGGCCCTGGACCCTGAATGTGCCGTCATCGCTCCCACCAAGTCGCGAAACCTTTACACGCGACCATGCACTCACTCCAGAGACACAACACCAAGCCGGGCTGACCATGCCAGTAGCAGCGCCTCCGCATAATGACGGCATCCTGGAGACGCAGGGCGCAGAGAAGTCTGGTCTAGATGGCAATCGAACGCCAGCCCTCGCGCATCGGATGAAGCACGACAAATCGATCCTCGCATTAGCAGTGTCATCACAGTACATCTTCGCTGGAACACAGGGCGGGGAGATCCTAGTACGTGTCCAAGCGCGCTCCAGAGGCGCCAGGCTTATGACGTGCAGGTCTTCAGCCTCGATACCTACGAGCGACGCAGCGTCATACACGCGCACAAGGGCAGCGTACTCGGCTTGTGTCTGTCGCATGACCGCAAGTGGCTGTTCTCGAGTGCAGCAGATCCGATTGTCAATGTGAGAGAGTCTGGAACGTCCATCGTCGGTGTATGCTGAGTTGTTAGGTCTGGTGCACGTCGACCTTCAGACACCTCTACGCGCTCTGGTCGCCATACGATATCGGAGACATCTTCTGCGTCGCATACTCCTCCCAACATCGTACCGTCTACCTCGGAGCCCAGAACACAAGCATACAAGTAGGAAACAAGACTGAACTGAAATGCATGGGCTGACAGTAGCAGTGGTACGATTTGAAAGAGAAAGACACTAGACCGGCCCCGAGTCTGTCATCGCATCCTGCAGAGCGAAAGAACAAATTCTTCGACTCCCTAGGACCGGGCGGCGCGCAAACCCCGAAGCCCAGCGGGGCAGATACGAGACCACGCGACGCAGTAGGCGGGCAAGAACTGCAAATCGACAGCCATGACATCTGCCAATTCGCCCACTACGGATACGTACATTGCATGCTCCTGGGCAGCGGCATCATACCGGAGGCGCCGTCCGAGGAGATTCTGGTCTCGGGTGGAGGAGACGGGCGTATCTTGCTGTGGCGCATAGATCCCGCACAGCGTGGTGCCATCACAAGCCTCTACACATTGGAAGATGGGAGGGAGGAAGGTGAATCCATACTTTCACTCGCCAGAGAGGGCTCTTTCCTGTACAGTGGGCGCTTCGACGGCGAGGTCAACGTGTGGGATCTTGAAACCCGACAACTAGTGCGAAGTTTGAAAGCGACTACCGGTGATGTTCATACCCTAACATTGGGTGCCGGCGTTCTGTACGCTGGTGGTAAAACTGGTGTAATGCAGGTGAGTCTCCTTTATTGCTTTGTAAGAACCATGACTAACATAGATAGAAATTCAACGAGCATTACGAATCCATCACGACCTTCAAGGCACACGACGGCCTAATTCTCGCTTCCGCGTTTACCAGATACAACGATAAGCCAACCCTCGTTACCGGCGGCAATGACAATACTGTGGTTATCTGGGAGGTCAGAGATTGTGCGGAGCCCAACGCCGTCTCACGCAGAAGCAACAACGGTTTGTACACATCCGAAACTTTGATTTGCTCAACTAATGCATTGTGTAGATCTCATGGTGGAGTCATTGAGACAGTTCGTGTCTTTTCGGACCGTATCGTCGCTGCCCAAATATCGCGCTGACTGTCGTAGAGGGGCGTCTTACTTGCGTTCCGTCTTCCAGAATTTTGGCGCTGTTACCGAGATGATCAACACAAGCGAGTACAACCCCATTGTGTTTGCAAAATTTCGCGGCAACCCGGCTACAGCGGCCTCACGGAAGAAAATTCTGTTCTACGGACACTACGATGTTATCCCTGCAGAAAATGAACACCGCAAGTGGAAACACAATCCCTTCGAGCTGACGGGAGAGGGAGGCTATTTATATGGTCGCGGGACGTCTGACAACAAAGGGCCGATTATGGCTGCCATCTACGCGGCTCATGAGCTTGCAAACGAACAGCGCCTGGATTCCGACATCATCTTCCTCATAGAAGGTGAAGAGGAGAGTGGCTCTCGCGGTTTTGAAAGAGCTGTGCAAGCCAGGAAAGATCTCATTGGTGATGTTGACTGGATCCTCCTGGCCAACAGCTATTGGCTCGACGACCACGTGCCTTGCCTTACTTACGGACTTCGAGGAGTCATACATGCTACTGTACAGATTGAGAGTAAGCATCCTGACTTGCACAGTGGTGTGGATGGAAGTGCTTTGCTAGACGAACCGCTCAAAGACCTTGTTATGTTGCTATCACGATTGACTGCACGACACGGCAAGGTTCAGATCCCAGGTTTCTACGACCCTATCCTACCTTTGACAGAGGATGAGGAGGGGCTCTATACCGAGATTACCGAAACACTTTTACGTGGTAACCCAGATCTTGGCGATGCAGGAGAGCTAGCACAGTCATTGATGCGCAGATGGCGAGAGGCTTCGCTCACCATCCATCGCTTCCAGACCTCTGGTCCTGATAACTCAACTATCATCCCTCGTCTTGCTAAAGCTGCCTTATCGATACGACTGGTACCGAATCAAGAAGCTGGCGACGTAGCAGAGAGTCTGAAGTCCTTCATGCAATCCGAGTTTGAAGATCTTGACTCAAAGAACCAGCTCAAGGTAACAATTGACCACCAAGCCGAGCCGTGGCTTGGCGATTTCAACAACGAGATCTTCCAGACGCTTGAGCGTGCCATCATGTCAGTATGGGGTCCAACGCTTGGGCAGAGAAGAGAGAGCATGTCTGTAGTTCAGCCGCCCGACTACTTCTCGCCATTATCACGAGCAGCGGCCGAGCCTTCAGCACCTACTACCAAAGACAAGCCTGCGCCAGCGACATCTAACACCCTGGCCAACTCATCCGATCCGGCTCTCGCAGGGCCTGTCCCATCATCTGGCAACTCGACGCCGGACCACACTCGAAGCGAAGCAGCGTCTCGTAAGCCTCTGTACATCCGGGAAGGTGGCTCTATCCCCAGTATAAGATTCTTGGAGAAAGAGTTCAATGCACCTGCTGCGCATCTGCCGTGCGGCCAAGCAAGTGACAGCGCGCATTTGGACAACGAGCGCCTGAGGTTAGTCAACCTGTACAATAGCAAGAAGATCTTCAAGGAAGTCTTCCGGGAGCTGCCGAAGAAATGATGGCTTCGATTGCATTATATAGTCGAGAAGTAAGGGACGTATTGGAGTTTTGAAGGGTTATGTTAGGTGTACCGTGTAAACATCCATACTCTCGAGTATGGTATACTATGGCCGCGTCTCTGCAGCGGCATACCCCGTATGCATCATATGAACCATGTATACACACTTCCAAATTGTCTACTGCGATACCCTAAACACCACTGCGTACGTCCCATTCAACCAATCATGCAACGTCAAAGCTCCAAGACCCTCGGCTTACCCCAATCGCATACCCCGCTGCAGCTACCCACTAGCCGAACTATTCGGATACGAATTTATGCGGACAAAAAATCATTAGCCCCGCAGAGGGTAATAATTTTTTGTCTAATTAGGAATAACAGCTAACAGCCTTAGCAACACAACTAGCTAGCGGCAACACAACTACCTAGTAGTAACACCGCAACATATTAACACCGCAATACATTAACACCGCAATATATTAACACTACAACATATTAACACTATAAATGTTATATCTATCTACAAATTTCTCGCAAAGTAGCTATTAAAGTAATTTAGATATCTAATATATCTTACGCTAAGTGTATATATAAGGTAGGCTAATACTATAATAAAGTAAACTTTACTACTACTACTACTACTACTATCTCTCTTATACTCTAATATTATATATTACTTTTCTTTAAGTCTTTTATTAATAACTATTAGCTAGTAATACTATAGTCTTATTCTCTTATTTTATAACTACGCGCTTCTACTATACTTATTATATTATATCTATTTTATACTTTACTAAGACTAATAAATTTATATATATTTAGGCTTAGAGTGTATAAAAGATAATAAAAAAAAAATAGTAAAAAGCTATTAGATAAGTAGCGTTAAAGTATAATTATTACTTAGACTATAGCTATAATAGTATATATATAAGCCTTTATAGATAAGAATAGTAACTAGAGATATATAAATAGAAATAACTATATAAGCTACTATAGTCTTAGAATTACTAACTACTTAAAGAGTAATTATCTTAACTATAACTTAGTGTATTAGCCTATAGTTATAATTACTTTTTAGATAAATATAGAAAGAAGCTATACTATTCTATTACACTTTAAGAGAAAATAATATAAATATCTATTTAGTCTATTTTTAGAATTACTTACACTTACTACTTCTTAGTAATAAAAGTAGTCTTTTCTTAGTTATTAGTACTAGACTTACTAGCGCTAAGAGTCTTATAGATAGTATCTTATATATAGGTAGTCTAGATTTAGATAAAGAGAGAGTATAGCACTTAACTAGCGTATATAACTATAACTTATTAGTTTTAGAAATTAATATAATATTAATAATAATATATTTATAGTAAACTTAGAACTAGTATATTATAAATAGTATATATATATAGTATACTTAAAGTCTCTTATTTAATAAAGTTATTCTTACTATATATCTAATAGAGTACTAGTATAACTACTTATAAAAGAACTTAGATAATACTAAAGCGTATGTCTTTATAAACTAGTGTATTACGCTACTACTACTATAGTAGATAATACTATATAAGAGAGAGTAAGAGTATACCTAGTAGTATTAGTCTTACGCCTACTAGTTATTATTTATTAAGAGTAGTATTTCTAGAAGTAATACTAGTATTACTATTCTTAATAGCTTTAGTCTTACACTTACGCAGTATTATAATCTTTCTAGATATCTAGATATAATCTTAGCGTCTATTACTCTTCTTATTCTTAGCTTTATACTTATATAGTATTATATTATAGAGATAAAAAGATAGCTAGAGCTATATAGTACGTATATAGAAGATAGAATAGAAGAGAGTTAAACTTATTATATATATAATAATAATAGTAAAAAAAAGATAGATACGCGTATAGAGCCTTAGAACTAAACCTTATTATTAGAAAGTAATATAGTTACTATTAGTAACGTAAGCTAGAAACTTAATAATTCTTTATAGACTTATAAAGATTAAATATTATTATCTCTAGCTATTACACTATAAGTCTAGATAATAGAAATTAGCGTAGTTATATAGATTATATAGCTAAGGTATTCTTTATCTCTTTTCTTATAGTAGTAGATAATTATAGATAAAATTTAGAGCTACTAGAAAGAGAAAGTGTAAAAATCTAGAAATTCTATAGTAAGTTTAAAGCTACTAGAGAGAGAAGGCGCTAGAATTAGTATAGTAAGTTTATATAAGCTAGATTTATATAAGAGTAAACTTATATAGTAAACTTAAAGCTCTTAAATAGTAAACTAGAGAGTATAAGCTAGAAATTATAATTAAATATAGCTAAAAACTTAATAATTTTATATATTATAAGAAGTAAAAAAGCTATATTATTAGATAAGTAAGGTATATAGAGTAGAGAAAGAGGTTATATAGACTTATTTATATATATATTTATAAGTATATAGAAACGTATATATATATTAGAGTAAAGTGTTAAGTAAATAGAAAGAAATATATAGCTACTAAAGGTAGATAGGTTAAGATAAAAGATTTTAATAGAGATTTAAAGTTAAGCTACTAAAACGTATTATATATACCTATAAACTAGCTATCTTCTAATAAAAGATTTTATACACTATACTATTTTATATTTTAAACTCTACTATATGTATAAATTATAAATATACCTCTAAAGAGGCTTTCTAAAAATAGTAATAGTAGTAAATATTTTATAAAGTGTATAAAAGACTATACCTTCTATACTAATTCTATAAGTTAGTCTACTATAGTAGCTACTATAGAAGCTAATTTATATACTAATTAGCTTTAAAGTCTATAATATAATAAGCGCTAAGTTTACGTCTTAATAACTAATATATATAAAATATAACACGCTACTTTTATATTAAGTTTTTACCTCTCTACGCTTAAATCTATTAACTCTAACTCTATATATATCTACTTTATACTAGCTACTACGTAAGTATATAGTAAGTTTAGATAAAAGCGTCTTACTAATATCTATACCTACGTCTATATACTTCTCTTATACTTCTACGTAGAGATAGCTAGCGTAAGTAGTAAATATAGTATAAATAGCTACTACTTATACTACGTATACTTATTAGTCTATATATAGCTAACTTATTACTTTTATACTTACTAATCTATAGTAGTTAAAGCCTATATTACTTTAGGTACTAGCCTTAGGCTAAAGATACTTAGACGCCTATATATAATAGTGTAGTACTTACTTAGTCTTTTATACTACTTAGCTTACTATTTATAAAACTAGAAGTATTAAAGCTAAGTTTTACCTAGACCTAGATAATACTATATATATTACTAATTAATCTATAATAATAATAGAAGATAAGTAAAAGAGAAAAGATAAGTAGAAGAAGAAAAATAAGTAGAAGAAAGAAGATAAGTAAAAGAAAGAAAATAAGTAGAAGAAAGAAGATATAGAATATAATAAACTAGATACTAAAAATATATAGCTTATAGTAGATAGTAAATTCTTAAACTAGATATTAGGTATATAGCTAGAGGCTTATAATAACTAGCGTACTATTAACTTTAAAGCTAATAGTAATCTTACTTTATTATTATCTATAGAGTTTATAAGTACGTATTATATACTTTAGCTACTACTATAGTTAATATAGACGTCTATATTTTAATTTATATAGCTACTAGGTAATATAGACTTTAGATCTAATATAGATCTAGATAGTGCGTAATAGTAGTATATATAATATAGATACTTTATAGTTTATATATATAGAATATAGACTAAAAGAAATAAAACTTATTATATTAATACTATATCTAAGCATTCTAGGCCTATTATCTATTAGTTCTAGTAGTTAGCTCTAGTAGTTAGCTCTAGTAGTTAGCTCTAGTAGTTAGCTCTAGTAGTTAGCTCTAGTAGTTAGCTCTAGTACTAGACTAACTAGTTAGCTCTCTAAAAAGTCTCTATTCTATCTTCTAAAGAGATAAAAAATAGCTAATACTTATAAATAGCCTACGCTCTAGAAATAATAATAGTACTAAAGGTAATATAATTTAGTAATAATATAAAATTCTATAAGACTTATATAGAAAAGAACTAGAGCTACTCTCTACTTCTATATCTCTACTATATTAAAGGCTTACTAATAGAAAGTCTATCTCTAGTAATTAGATACTTTATATACCTACTTATTATATATCTCTCTAATATACTTATAACTCTCTTAGCCTTATTAGCTAGCTCTTAGCTTATTTTAGTATTACTATTACTTAATAAGTAGCTAAATAGGCTAACTATATTATAGTCTTACTTATTATCTTTTTCTAGTACTTAGTATATAACTTAGATATATTAGCTATAGTTTCTATATATATCTTAACGTGTATAGAAGTATAGTGCTTACGCTTACTCTTATCTTAAATAACTTTACCTTTTTATTCTTTATATTATAAAGAGTAACTTAGAACTTTATATTACTATTAACTATAACTCTCTTATAGCTATAATATAATCTTTATAAACTATATTTTACTTTTCTAGTCTAACTTAATAACTTAGAGTAATAGGTAAGTCTCTACTATACTTCTATATCTTTCTTAGTGTAAGTGTTTATAAAGTTACCTTTCTCTTCTTATTTAGTATATTACTACTCTAGCTATTAGATAAAGCTAAGAGTATCTTTAATCTATTAGTAAAGAATTTATTATAGATATAAATATATATAGTTTCTTTTAGAAATATATAGAGATTATATCTCTACTTACTCTAGATATTTATTATAATAATAGCTAATTAGAATATTTTATTATTATATATAATATTAAGTCTATTCTTATCTTTAATTTTATAGTAGATTTCTAATTTATTAATATATACTAATATATCTTAGCCTTTATTATAGATAGCTTTAAACTTACTAAGTTTTAGCTTTAGTAACTAGAAAGATATATCTTCTAGGTTTATGTCTATTAGTGTAGGCTTAGTATCTATATTATATCTATT